TGTCAGATAGAAATCGCCCTCAGAAATAAGGCACAACTATGTATCACTGGCACCAGCACTTTGTCGCGAGTAAATGCGCATACAACTTCTGCTTAAAATCCGAAAATGAAGTACTGTGCCTAATATCATTAGGGAGATTATTCCAGAATGTGATAGATGTCAGCCGAAAGGACCTTTTATATGTCTCTGTCCTACAGTGTGGCTGTATAAAAACCTCTCTAGTGGCTCTGGTCGTTCGTTCCGATGTATGTGTATTCTGCCTGTAATTAGAATGTAGTAATGTAGGTTGTTTTGTCCTAAGAACGTTGTAAGTCAAGCAGCCAACGAAATAAAGCCTTCGTGAGTCAATTTTTAACCAGGAGAGCCTCTCATAAAAAGGTGAAATGTGCACATCAAATCTCGTGTTGAAAATAAACCTGACACAAGCATTAACTCCTCTGTACAGTTTTAAACTTTGCTCACCAGTAATATCAGTCATTGCAGCACAACAATAATCAATATGTGGAAATATTAATGCCGTGACAAGCCTTATTTTTAAGATATCCGGGAACATATGTTTACAGAGTTTCAACTGGTAAAGTGTAGTCCGAATCCTTTTTGTAGTGTTGATAATCTGCTTTTCCCAGGATAAGTTATTTGCAATGACAAGTCCAAGATATTTCACAGATGACAAGTATTGAACCGCATGTCCATCCACCCTTATTTCCGGGAGAGCAGAATTATATAACGCATTTATATATCTCGATGTGCCTATAATAATGGCTTGAGTTTTGTCGGCGTTCAAAATAAGGCCGTTGGTAGTTGACCAAAGGAGAACAGCATCGACGTCATCATTGATGCTCTGAACAGCATCAATAATATTCTTCGGTTCACAATGTAGATAGATTTGAAGGTCATCAGCATAGAAATTGTACCTGCAATGTCTGAGTACCTTGCCAAAATCCGCAAGATAGAGAGTGAAAAGCAAAGGTCCCAGCACAGAGCCCTGTGGAACCCCGACCTTCACAGAGGATGATGATGAGACAGTGCCCACCACTGCGTCCTTGACAACCTGTGTCCGACCACTGAAGTACGAGTAGATCCATGTCAATGTTGAGTCAGAGAAATTTAGTTCTTTTAGTTTCTTGATCAGTAGTCTATGATTCACTCTATCGAACGCCTTTGAGAAGTCAAAGAAGACAGAGATTGTTACCATTCTAAGATCCACTGCCTGTCTGACATCATCCATCATCCTAATAAGACATGTTTGAGTAGAATAGTTTTTTCTGTAGGCGGATTGACATTGATCGCGAAGGTCCTCTCTTTCCAAATATCGATTTATCTGCTCGCACGCAACTCGTTCCAGTATTTTTGAGAGCGCGGGAAGAATGGATATCGGTCTGTAATGCTTTACAGATGTAGGATTCTTGATCTTCGGAATCGGGCAAACTAGAGCAGACTTCCACTGCAAAGGAAACTCACCACTCATCAGTGAAAAATTAAAAGATGTTCCAAGATAGGTAGAATACCATCGATGACCAACTTTAGCATTTTGATCGAGATGCCATCAGACCCTATAGCATTAGATTTGGCTCGTAGAATTGTTCGCCTGATCATGATGGGCATGACGTGCTCCCAGTGGAAGTCTGCATCTTCAAACTCGCCAGAGCAGATGTCGTCGATATTATTTTCATCAAAGCTGATTTCAGATAGCCCAGCTTCCCGCACAAAAAAGCTATTGAGATCCTCAACACTGCACGACAGACAACTGCCTGAACCCTTTGGTTTTATAAGTCCAAGGTGTCTTAGTCTACCCCAGACTTCGCCAGCTCCATTTGCACGACTGAAGACCTTATAATAGTAGTCCCTTTTAGCAGTGCGGACCATGTTTTGCACCTGATTACGCAGTACCTTAAAACGTGAGTAGTAAACGTCACCCTTGCGTCTTCTCCAAATGCGCCTAGCCATATCCCTACTTTTCATGGCAGCGCGGATTTCAGTCGTGAGCCAAGGAGCTGGTAAATTTTTAAAGCGAAATTGCTTCCACGGTGCATGAGCATCGTAGATATCCAGTAATTTGGCATTGAAAATGCCTATCTTTTCGTCCATATTGGCTGATAATAATAAGTCCGTCCAATCAATGCTATTGACCTCTGACACAAAGGCTTCTCAGTTTAACCGCATATTTGATGTAGATCATGAGCCGAAAGAAAAGCCACCCCCCGCTGTCCATAGTCAATGAGTTTCTCTCCATCGTCAATAATGCACAGATCCAATAGTGTGCTGAAGTTCCTAGTGTGATGAGTAGCTGAAAAAGGAACAAGATGCAAGCCCGAGCCTGTGACAAAGCTGATATTTGCTGACTATCATAAGCCACCTGATTCATATCGGCATTAAAATCTCCAACGATGACCGAATGTCTATAATCAACTTGCAAATCAAGGAACTCACGGAAGAACTCATCCATGAAACCAATGTTGGGTGGACGATAAACGACAGCCAACAGCAATTTGGACATATCCTTAAACATAATTTCAGCGATAATGTATTCAAGCCTTCCCATTATTGATCCAGCAGAACTGACAAGAACAGAGGCCCTGAGTGAGTCCAACAAATAGAATCCTACTCCTCCTCCCACTCTTCCGATCCTATCACACCTGTAAAGCGAGTATCCTGGCAACCCAACCATCACATCTGAAATCTCAGGTCGTAGCCACGTCTCCAACATACAGATAATATGAAAAACTTCTTGTGCGAAGTAATGTCGGAACTCATCAAAGTGAGCCATTAGTGACTGGCAGTTGACATGGCAAATGCAAAGGTCATCAAAATCAAGAACTGGCATTGCCTTACTCATAGTTAATATTCGCTACTTTTTCCTCGATTTTTCTGCCCAGTACCGGACAGCTCTTCCCGTCCACAGCCATATGAGTGTGGTCTCCCTGAGGCCTGTGTTTTCCACAGTTAAAACACCTAGGATCCCGTTTTCTTTCCTTACAATTCTTCATCTCGTGTTCCCCCGCACAATGTCCACAATGCGGTTCAAGTCTGCAGTTTTTTGCTATATGCCCGAATGACAGACACCTGAAGCACTGAACCACCCTGACATGGTCAGCGAGAGGGCAAGCATTATAACGCAAATAAATTCGACTCAGGTTAAGAAGCGTTTTGCGAATTGCCGGAGTGACCTCCAGAACGCAGCTTTTAATATGTCTTCCCGATTTAGATTTAAACACGTATATGACCTTTACGTCTTCTACTGTAGAAACATTCAGATTCTGTGCAATAAGCTCGTCTCTAATTTCTACAGTCGACATTTCCTCAGGAACCCCGTGAACGATGAGCCTTGGATTCATCTTAACGCCCTCTCTGATCTTGAGTCCAGCAGTCGCAAGTCCTGGGTGAGCCTTTATCCTGCCAATATCCGGTGACAGCGCCTCAATCCTGACCGCATTATTTTTAGCCAAAGTCATCCGTTTAATTTTGAGTCCGCATTCCGCCGGTTTAAGCACCTTACACAAGGTCTCCTTGGTCACCTGTGACGAGGCAAACTTGTCCTTCTTGTCCTCATCCGGTACAACAAAAAAACTAGTAGTGTTGTCTAGCTCAACTATTGGACCGTGTAATAACTTTATCTCCGGCTTGGTATTGCTCAGAACGGAAGCATAGGACTCCTTTCTGACAGTCGACGTCGACGTACCCGAGTCACGCGTGCCCAAATGACAGATGTCCTCCTTAAAATTGTTGGAACTCTTTTTTTGCAAGGCATCCAATTCTTCTCCGAGAGCCTTCCTTATATCGTCAATCTTCAGACTCGGGCCCGCAGTATTCGCATCCAGCATATTAATTAAGATAGTGGAAACCTCAACGAACGCATCGCGACACGCTCGAAATGCCCCCTCAATCACCGCCCTGTTCGCAGCTGTCTCCTTGCTCACCAGAAGAGCCTTAGCAATAGCATCGCTATGCCTGTTTATTGTGGCTCCTAGTGCATTTACTCGCGAGACATTCATTACGCTAATACAAAATCTATCTGACATACCCGAAATCAAATTTTCCGCAGACGTTTGTTTGGCCAGTCCCCTTATCTCTACGCCACTGTGCTCGCTCCCTCCAGCGTCGCCGCTTATGCCCTTGTCCATGTCCCCGACTCAAGGAAGTAAACAAGCAACGCTTCTGTGACAGATGATCTAACGAATTTCCAGCTGATGAAACGAATATCCAGAAAATAAAAAAATCCTCCGAGAATCCAAAGCTAGGTCACTTAACAAATAGGTAAGTCAAGCATATAGGCCTTAGACAGACTGCAAAAGAAAAAGAGCAGGCCCCACAGGGCCAAAAAGCGGCAGAAAACAGACTATATTACGGAGCGATAATAAACACATCTGTAGAGACTCACCTACGGTACTAGAGGGAGGGAGGGAGGAAAGAATAGAAAAATCAGAGTATAATAAATAGTATAAGGAGATTAGAGGGGAAGAAGTTCCGGAGTATTTAAGAAAAGATTGGGGGGACAGTAGGTGGAGGAGAGTGGCGAGGTTTAGGCTGGGAAACGAGATGCTAGAAAGTAGATACTGGGAAGAGGAGGAGAAGAAAAAATGCAGGTTATGTGGGGGAGAGGAGGAATCTTGGGAACATATTTGGAAAAGATGTAAAATAAGTAGTAAAAAGGAGAGGAGTTGGCAGGAAGTAGTCAAGGAAATTCTAGGAGAGAGAGGAGAGGGAGAAAGATGGATAATGGAGATAAAGGAAGAGAGAGAGAGGGAAGGAGAGACGAATGGGATGAATGGAATGAGAGAATGAGAAAGGAAAAAGAAAAAGAGCGGAAAAGCAAGAGGAAACGGAAGTCCCAAGCGGCGAGATGTGTGTGTGCGTGTACTGGGTGGTGGAGCGAAAGCTAAGGGGAGACGGCCACAAGGGTGACCCAAGGTGGAAGCTCAACCCCCCTTTTTTTGTGTGTGTGACGCTGGGGGCACCGTCATGGTACCGCGCACCTTCGGGTAAAGGTGCGGGTTATGTGGGACTCCTTGTTCCCCTTGACCGAGCCACGAGTGGTTCGACCAGGGGGCCCAAGACCTACCGCACTAAAACCCCAGCGGGTGTTCTTCCCGGGCGTTGGATAGGGGACGGCGAGGATACTGGTATCCCATGCCGTCTCGCCGCCCCCCCGCCAAGCCATCTCCGGGGAGCTGTCTTGACCTTGCGACCGAGACCCCTCCCCGACCGCACAGTCAATGACTGTGCGGTTCTGTCGCGGTTGCGGCGCAGGACGACACCGGCCCCACGCCGCGCCCTCCCAAAGAGTTTGGGGGCGGGGTCGCGGCTCGAGTATCCCGCTCGAGCCGTCACTCCCCGTCTCCAGAGTGGTGCTTCCTCCCCCTCCCAAAGGGAATGGGAATTCGGCAGTCACCCTGGAGGCTCTCACCAGGAAAACCCTTCCCTGAAGGGGAAGAAAACCCTCTACGGCGTTGTTGCCCTCCCACCGGTGCCTTACGGTTCCCGGTGGAAGGGCCCTCCCGCCGCATCTACGTCCGTGAGAGGAGAGGCCGCGCCCCGCAAAGCCAAGCAAAGTCTGACCCCGCGGCGAGCGACCCCCCCCTCCTCTGTCCCCCCAGCTGCGGCTTCCTCCGCTCCCTTGGGAGTTAGGATTCGGCCACAGCCGAGAGGATTTCCCGTTCGGGGGCGCGGCCACGCCCATCCCGCCTAAGCAAAGCGACGCACCCGCGCCCCCGATTTTCGAGAGGTCTTCGGGGGGGAGCCCTGGAACTTAATTGTCCCCCCCTCGGAGATCTCATCCCGCGTCATAGTTTGACGCGAGTGTGTTTGGGGCGGACCCTCCCCGATCCCCGCCACCACGGATGAGCAAGCTCATCGATGGCGGGGAAAGAGAGGGCCCGCCCCCGTCTCCACTACTGCACGTCTACCGTCGGGGGCGCCTCCCCCCCCCTCGATTCCCGCTACCACAGACGAGCAAGTTAGCCGATGGCGGGAAAAGAGGGGGCCTGTCCCCATTCTCCGTATCCTCTCCTTCATCCTCCTCTTCCGAGGGCTGGGAGTTACCTCTTCCAGCCCTTTCCCTCTCTCTTTCTGCCTCCTCCTTCTGCAAGAGCACGCTCTCGCAGAAGGAGGAGAACGCCTTCCACGCTTCCTCCTCCGCAACTATCGCCTTTACTATCGCGGGTAGCGCTGGGTCCCTCCCGATTGTGGCTACGAGCTCCTCCCTTTCGTCCGCCCAGGCGACACACTCTTGTAGTGTGTGCCCGGCGGTGTCTCGCTCGAAGCCACAATGATGGCATCGTGTCGTGCGCTCCTTCTTTATTCGACACAGGTACTCACCGAAGCAGCCGTGTCCGGTGAGCACCTGTGTCATGCGGTACAAAACACCCCCCTTGGCCCTGCCCAGCCACTGCTCTAGGCAGGGCCGAATGACCCCGACGGTCCACTGTCCCGGCAGTCGCGGGTCTTGCAGACCGCCGGACCAACTCTCTATGAGTTGCCGTCGGGTTTGAGTCCTCAATGCTCGCCGGATACTGTCCGTGACGGCCATTCTCTCTCTTTGAAGCCCGCGTGTACGCCTATACACCTCGGTGTACATGCGGACCAGTAGTTCGATGGGGAGCACTCCGAAGAGTACCCCCACGGCCGTCCAACTAACGGTACGAAACCCCCGGCATATGCGGTTAGCCACCCGCCTTTGTAGCTGATACAAAGCATCTTTTAATCGGCGGGTGGTCCCCACTTTTTCCGCCCACACGGGGGCTCCGTACATTATCATCGAATAGACAGTTCCGGCGTAAAGTCGACGAACCCTTCCGTCCGGTCCCCCGAGGTTTGGCAGCAGCCGGCATAATGCCATTGCTGCCTCGTTGACTCTCGGGGTTAGTTGGCGGAAGTGCTCGCCGAAGGCCCATTTGCCATCCAAGTGGAGACCCAGGTATTTAATTTGGGTCCCCACTTTTACAGGGGTGTTTCCCACCAAGATCTGGACTTTGGGGGGCGCCCCGTGGGAGCCGTCGTGGAAAAAGACGGCCTCCGTTTTCTGGGGCGCCACCTTCAGCCCGACTTCTTCTATGGTGTACACGACACGAGCCACGGCTATGTTGGCACGCGCTACTGCTTCCCCCCAGATGTCTCCCCCGACCATGACTAGTGTGTCATCCGCGTAGCAGATGACGTTACAACCGGGAGGGAGGGCAGTCCTCAGGGTCACGTCGTAAGCGAGGTTCCACATAAGGGGGCCCAATACTGACCCCTGCGGAACCCCACACGACATTTCGACCCTGCGCTCCTCAGCGTTCTGATCCACATAGACCAGACTTCTGTCCCGAAAGTAGTCCGAAATAATTGACACCAGGTATGGGGGGATCCTGTGGTATCTTAGGGCGTCCCCCACCCGATGCCATGGCAGGGTGTTGAAGGCGTTCGAGATGTCTAGAGAGACCGCCGACAACACCCCGCCCCCCCCCTCACAACGGCTCTCGAGACCGAGCGGACACGCAAGATTGCGTCGACAGTTGACCGCCCGGCCCGGAAGCCGTATTGCTTATCGTTCAGTTGCGGACCATTCCAATACAGATGGTAGACGAGGCGGTCCGCGATAATTCTTTCTAATATCTTTCCCGCCTTGTCCAACAAACAAATTGGCCTATACGCCAAGGGCGACTCTCTTGGTTTGCCCTCCTTTGGAAGAAGGACTATGTTAGCCTTCTTCCACACCTGGGGAAAGGAGCCCGTCTTGAGGCACTCGTTATACAAGTGCTTCATGGGCTCCGCTAGATCCTTGAAGGCAAGGGCCCATACCTTCCCGTGGACGCCGTCAGGTCCTAGGGCTTTTCCCCTTTTGATTTTCCTGACGGCGTCCCTCAGTTCTCCTCTCGTGACCCTCATCTCTTCTTCGTTCCACTCCTGTTCCCGCTTCTCTATTCGATGGTCTCCATCGATCCGCGGGAACAGGGTGTCTATCACTTCTTCTACGAGATGGAGGTCCATGGTCTCCGTTAGGGGGGCCGTCCCTCTCTTGAGTTTATTAAGGACCATCCTATAGGGACGACCCCACGGATCCCTGTCGAGAGAGGAGAGCAGTTCCTCCCATGCTCTTGCCTTCGCCTGCTTTATGGAGACACGTAGGGCGTTGCGTGTCTTTTTGTACGCATCCCACGCGTCTTCCAGGCCTTCAGGATCTAGCAGCACGTACCTTTTTCGCCGTTGCACCCTTCTCCTTGCGTGGTCGCAGGATCTCCTTAGCTCCGCGAGATCCTCCAACCACCAGTAGGCCTCTTTACGTGGCCTGTTCCTTGCCCTGGGCATGGCTACGTCACATGCTTGAGTGATAATGTTCTGTAGCCATGCTCTTCTTTCCTCTACGCCTTCATTTGGGGCACTTCCCACTATTAGTGCCGCAACTATCGCGTCCTCGTCTATTTTCCTCAGGGCCCATCTCCTAGAGCTGGCTTCCCTGAGCAAGCGGCGCTCTAAGACCTCCTTAGAGAGGGTGGAGACGGAGAATGTAATGTATCTATGATCAGAGTCTGTCTCCTTCTCCGTCTTCACCCTCCATCCGTGTATCAACCTCCTCGCAAGGCGGGTCGCTCATGTCAAATCGACTATCGACCCGCCCTGCCTCCTCCAACAGGTCTCCTGTCTTCCTCTATTAAGAAGGTCGAGCCTGTTTTGCGCCGCCCACTCGTACACCTCACCGCCCCGCCAGTCAGTGTGCGGGGAACCCCACGCCACGTTTTTGGCGTTGAAGTCCCCCGCCACCACCAAGGGGCCGGTGGAATGCTTGACTATCTGTCGCTCCAGGACCCTCAGTCTCTCGTCGAACTCTCTCTTGTTTATGTTCGGCGAGATGTAGACTGATATTACAGTGATGGGCCCCCAGGATGCCGCCACCAAACCCTCTCCTTTGTTGATTAGGTTCAGCGGCGGCGAGTCGGATGCGTTCCTCCTTGCAATTGCAGCCAAGCCGTCCTTGTTTACAACCCAGTTTTTGTTATTTTTTATTGCTGGGTTGTACGGCTTGGCTACAATCGCAATGCCGCAGGAACCCTCGCACATCGTTTGTGCGAGAAGGTCCTGGGCATTCCTGGCATGGTTCACGTTGGCCTGAATCACTTTAATTGCGGCCATCGTGAACCATTTTCTCCTCCTCCCGTTCCAAGACTATCTTCATGGCGTTGGTGTCTTCCGTCTTCCTTCCACTGGTTCTTGGAACCCTCTGTTCTTTTGGGGGTTCCGCATTTCCTTCTTCTCTTGGCCTCGTCATTCTGTTTAGGGGAACTCCCTTCCTCCTCTTCTGCACCGGCGCACATGCTTTGCCTCCCGTTCGGTGATTAGCCGGCAGGTTCTTGCTGCTGCATATCGCGCAATGCGCCAGTGCGTCACAGTTTTTGGCCGTGTGGCCCTCTTGACCGCAGCGGTAACATGTGTCGCTGCGGTCTATCTTATTGGGGCATCGAGCTCTGACATGTCCCTCCTTCAGGCATTTGTAACATTGGAGGGGGCGCGCCTCCAACAAATCGATACGGGCCCGTGCCCAGCCTATCTTGATTTGGCCTTTTTTGGCCAAAGTGTTGGCTGCTGCAACTGGGCAGGGGACCCATACGACCCTCATTCCACTGGGGATCTTTTTGATGTCGCCCACTTTGACATCCTCCCACTCGCAATTTCCCTCCGTGGTTACAACGCTCCCTATATCGGAGGGGGTCACAGAGTCGTCCAGCCCTCTAATCCTGATCTCCGCTGATTTGGTAGGGCGCTGCACCTTGACCCCCTCCTTATCTGCCAAGGCTGTCCTAAGTTTACTTGCCAGGTTGTCGGCCAACTCTCGACTTCTCTCTCCTGGCACTTTGTACATGAGGGCCCCCGTGATGGCTCTCTTGACCCTTACTCCCTCCTTGATGCCCAGGTTCTCTAGGTCGATCTTTTGACGTGCCTCCCCGCATGATGCTTTCGTACTGGCCGGGAAGACACATAACTGTTACCGCCGCCATTTTCGGTTCCCTTCTTTTCCGAGAGGGTTGCGTCCTTTGCGTTGGCGGCTTGAGCGGTGGTTCCCTATTTTCTTCTTTCCCTGTCGTTCGTCCCGGTTCTTTGAACTTTTGCGTTGTTTTGCCCTTCCTTTTGACCACTTCAGTCCATTGTGGTTCTTGTGGTTCTCGTTGTTGTTATTGAGATACCTCTGTGGGATGTTGGGATGGTTTTCCCTGGGTTCTCGTCGTCTGTTGTCCTTTCTTGTTCTTATTTCCTGGGACTATTAGTGTTGTCGTCTTGTTCCTTTCCTTGGCTATTCTGGCCGGGGGGTTAAGGGTTGTGACGGACTTAACCATCGGCTTGGCCTTTTGTTTCGGTCCCTTTCCTCCTTCCAAATTTCCTGCAGGAGATAATGTTTTTCCTGCAGTGTTTCCTTCCTTTGAAGCTTGTCTTACGGCTTTCTCCTGCTCCGTTTTCCTGGTTTTCTTCTCCTTCTTCTTTTGGGCATAAGTGGGGATTGGAACTCCTAGACGTTTGTCTATTTCCCTCGTGATTACCCCCTCTATTAGGGCGATGAGATTCTCCTGCTTTCTTCTCTCCTCGTCGCCGCTGTCCTCTCCTGCCTGGGAGCTATGAGCAACAGGAATTTTGCTCTGTCTTCTTGGCAGGTTTAACTTCTTCGGTGCTTCCCACTTTTTCCTGTTCTTGTTGGATCCAAGAGGTGGGAAGTCTTCTTTCTTAAAGATGGATACTTCATCCACCACATCCATCTTCTCCATCCTTTCCTCTCCTTGGGTTGACGAGAACCCCCCACTCGTCCGTGGAAGTGGAGTTTCTAGGGCCACTTTGCATGTGGCCCCTGAGACTTCCCCACTCTCGAGTGGAAGTGGGTTCTCGGCAATCCATTCTTCCATCTTGTTAGTCCCCCGATTTTCTCGGAGCGGTCTTGTATTCTCCTCCTCCGTGTCTTCCTCTTGGCTTACATTGCTCCCTGGAGCTGTGGCCTTTCTCTTGGGCATCTGTAGTTGTTTGACCGTTTTCTTCAGATGCTCGTTTTCTACCCTTAGGGCGCGTATTTGCTTCCTAAACTCCTGCAGCTGACTGTCTATCGATTCAGCTCTCGGATTTTGCGCTTTAAGCGCAAGGACTGTTGCTGCCGCGCATAGGTCAGCTGCTGACTCCTTTGTATGTTTCATCAGTGTGCTCTTTAAATTCTTAGAGTTCACTGCCACCTTGTAGATCCCCATGGTTTTTTCAGCAATCATAGCCTCTAAATCTCCTATGGGGCCTGCTGGTACTCCTCCGTCTTTGTTTGTACCCTTTCTAAATAGTCTTTGTAGAACTTTGTTTGGGTCGGTTTAAAGCGAAGGTTTAGGACGTTATCCTCGCGTTGTTTCTCCCCTTTCTCCTCTTCTTTTGCCTTCATTGCTTGTAATATGGCATAACCTCCCCCCAGGGATATCGCTGTCTGCGACATCCTGTTGTTGATGTAACGGGATGTTATTCTCCATACTTTGGATTATCTCTGTATCCACCTTCTCTGTGAATCTTCTGAATTCAGGCATGTCCTTCTTTTCCTCTTCTAGACTATCTTGGCTGAAGTCATCGTAGTCGCTGAGGATGTCCGATGGATTTCTACTTTCCTCCGGTGTCGGGCTATTCTTCGACCTTGTTCTCTTAGTCTTTCTCCTGGATGCAGGCTTTTTGGCGGCTTTCCTTTTTCTGTTGCCGCTACCTTTTATCCACGGGCCGCTAGATAGATTCGTGTCCGAGTCGATCCGCTGCAAGGGGATTTTGACCTCCTTGAGAATAACTACGCTTGTATTCTCCTGGACAGGGGTGCTTTCCTGCCCATTATTACATGGGATGGTGGAAACCTCTTCTCCATCCTGAGCTTGACTGGGAACCTTGTAGTTCTCGCCTTCTTGGTTGTTTGTTTGTGTAGTGCTTCTTCGATTCATTTTAGTGAATCCCACTATCCCGCCGCGGCTCTGTCCCCCAGGGTATACCCCCACCGGCCAGAGAGTGCCCCGAAACATGACCGGCCACACTCTCCGACCGGGCCCCAAGTTCCCCAGAGGAGGGGACATACGCCACTGGCCGGGGGGATAGCGCACCCCGGCACAGGGCCCCGAGCCCCCTACACGCCCTTGGGAGTTTTGACGCTCCCTCGGGTTTTCAGGAGTCTCGTACCTCCGACAATACGAGTACCACGGCGGGCGACGCCACCCGGGGGGCCCCATGGACGATTGGGGTTGGGTTGCCGCTCCCCGGCCCAACCTTGCCCGCCATGGCGACCAGCATACCGTGTCGCCCCTCGTCGAAGACGTTCGACGAGGGGCAAGCGCCTCTCCGGTCGGTCGGTTCAGAAAGGGTAACGGTCCCGACCGACCGAGGATATCTTCTCTCGCCGCCGGGCCCTGCCTCGGAAACGTCCGAGCGGCCCCGGCGGCAAGCGGCCGCGGCACTCCGGGCTATGCCCCTTGGGTAACCCCTCCGAGCTATGCTCCTCGGGTAACCGCGGCGCGCCTTCTCCGCCATCCTCGACCCGGACTCGGAAACGTCCGAGCGGCCCGAGAATGGCTAGTCACAGAGACGCTGGGATGAGAGCTACGCTCTCCAATCAGCACCCTGCGACGCCCGACTCGCCGTCAAGCCCCGCCTCGGAAATGTCCGAGCGGCCTCGACGGCCGACCCACGAGGTCCCCTCCGGGCAGTGCCCCTTGGGTAAACCCTCCGGGCAATGCCCCTCGGGTGACCACGCGCGGCCGCCTCCGCCGACCCAGCCCTCCCTCGGAGACGTCCGAACGGCCTGGGTGCGGCCTACCCCAGGGACGCTGAGACGAGAGCCAGGCTCTCCATCAGCATCCTGAGGCACCTCCCTGTCCCCGGGAACCACTACACAAGTGGGCCCCGGGGACCGATCGGTATGGCCCCCTCCGGACAAAGCCCCTCGAGTGACCATACCAATCCCTCCGCCGGCGTGACCCCCTCCGGGCAAGGCCCCTTGGAAAACCCTCCGAGCAAAGCCCCTCGGGTAGTCACGCGCGGCACACACGTCTATCCCACCCCTGCGGCCCCCGCCGCCAAAGCCCCACCCCCAGACCCCGGGGGACACTCCCCCAGGAAAAACCCCGAACGAACCTTCCCAGGACAGAAGGCAAAAACCCCGGCCGGTGGAAGCTGCCTACCCAGCAGACGTGCTGGGCCACATAGCATGGTGGGAAGGGAAGCGCCGAAGCGCCGTGCAGTCCCTTCTTCTTACGGTGCCATGCCACCGGGCGTTTGAATTCCGGGTCGCCATCCCTTACCACATACGAGCCGAAGTTCTAACGGGGAAGTGGGCCCCGTCTCCCCGGGATGTGGAATTCTTCCACACCCTGAGGAGAGCCCCAGAAACGGAGGGCACGCCCCAGAGACTAGGGGCAGTGTACCTCGAGAGGTACGGGTCGCTGTTAGCACCCCTTGCAAGACTATCCTCTTGCAAAGGGTGAGCCCCTTCGCCACGGCAAGGCCGCGACCCATTAAGGGGTACCTGCTCACCCTCCAACAACGCCCGAAATGGCGAATCGTGCAAAAGTTAGCGCGCGTCGGTCAGTTAGTCCTTTTACAAAATCCGCAAGCTCCCCCGAGTCAATGGGAGCTCGGCCGAATTGTCGCGTGTCATCCCGGCGCCGACGGCTTGACGAGAGTCGTCACCGTCCGAACGAGCCGCGCCGAGTAAGCGCCCTATCACGAAAATTTGTTATCTCCCTGTTGACATCAATCAAGAGATGTCAGTGACCTCCGGCACGGCGGGCGGAGACGAGAAGTGAAGCGAGTACTTGCTCTTATTTTTTTTTTGTCTAAAATTAGTTACATTCTTATGTATGCATTTGTCGTTCGTCGCGTTATAATCACGATAAGACCGTTAAAATCGATAGAGTTGATCTCTGTCAATTTGTTGTAAATATTATCGGCGTTGTTGCAAGCCGAAGCGAACTTCTTGTTTGTCACGATTCGCTCATTTCGAATGTATACATTCGAAGCGGGCGGTATGTATCGGAATCGTTTCTGCGACTATCGCTCGCTTCAACTTTCATATT